GTGGGGGTCAGGCTCTGCTCCCAGGAAACAAGGGAGAGGACAAGAGGAAATGGCCTCAACTTCTGTCGGGAGGGCTTAGATTGGGTATTAAGGACAAATTTCTCCTCTGAAAAGGTTGTTAAGGGTTGTCATGGCTGCCCGTGGAATTAATGATATTGTCATGTCTGGAGACTCTTATGGAATGTGTGGATGTGGCACCTGGGGACAGGGTTTCAAGGTCGACTTGTCAGTGTCAGGTTTGTGGGTGGACTCTCTACAATCTTAGAGATCTTTTTCAACCTAAACAAGTCCATACTACTGCGATGGGGAGCCAGTTTTAACCCAAGGATTATTTGGTAATGTCATTTCATAAAGTCATTAATAGGAACTTCACTCTAGTGCTCGAACTTATGCAGCTGCTTTTCTCTTTGCTCTCCTCATCTTCACTTCTACCTTCAGCCGCGGGACAGGAGAATTGGCTTTGGTGGGACCAGTGGTAGTGGGAAAGCCTCATGCCAGGGGGTTGTAGGTTGGTTTATTTCTGCCAAGGTTGGAGCTGCCTCCAGAAAAGGCTGTGATCCCTCCAGTCCTTATTGACACTCTTTGACTGCTCTGAGGTGAGTTGCAGGCTGCAAGAGATGTTGGTCAACCTGAGATGTCTGCAGCTTTTCTGCCGCCTTCTTCTGGGCACAAGCTTTTCCACCTACACCCTGAAGACCATCGTCATGCACCTCCTGAACAGTCTCCCCGTGTCACAATGGCGCAGGAGGGATTTCTTGTGGCGCCTGCGAGATATCAGTGTGAACCTGCGCTGCTCTCTGGAGGAGAAATGCCTTAACCACTTTATCATAGGCAACAAGAGATTGCCTCAGGAGATTAGCTTGCCCCTGGACATTGCAGCAGCTGAGCCACCCAATCTCTTCCATCAGCTGGCATGGTTTCCAGCTGCCCACTCTCAGGCGATGAGCGAGTACCAGGATCTTCGGCGTCAGCTTGCAAGTGTGCTGCTCAATGGCTGCTGAAAGAGGTGATCATGCGTACAGCTGTGCTTGTGGGCTTCACAGGCAGTAGCAGAAAACCACCTCACATCCCCGAGGAAAAGAGAGGAGAATGTGGGATACAGAAAGAGAAGATAAAAAGCTTCTGCGCAGCAGCACTCTGCCATCAGCAGCAGCAACAGTGTTGTTCATAGAACAAAAAAATAAAATTTAAACTTTTGGGCAATGTTGTTAACAACGTATGTATAAAAAGGGTTGTTGTTGATACAAGGAACAAGTTATAATTGGACATGTAGTTAACAGGGTGTGGTGCAGGGTTGGATGTTGTGGCTACAAAGTAAGGTGATTAGTTGTATTAGAGCTCAATACTGTTGTGTACACCTAAAAGGGGACTGGAACCAGGGAGGAAATGCCAATCTTTGTGGAGGGGGGGCAGAGAAGCTTCTAGAAGTATAACATCGTAGAACACAGCCACAGCTTGGATTAAGACTGGAGAAGAGACCAGCCAATAAGAAGCAAGAATCTCAAAATTATTGCACCAGCTTATGGGCCAATCAGCAACAGAAAAAGAAACCGATCACAGCACGGATCCTGAGCGCCCCAAGAAGGGAAGAAGAGAGAGACTTTAAAAGGCCTGGGGTGTGTGACACCCGGGTCTTTGCTTGGAGCTGGTATCTGTGGAAACACCCCTAGGTGTACAATTACTAAATTGTTGAAACAGTCTCCGGACTAGCCGGAGGCTTTGGCTTCCAGTTGTTCTGTCTGTACTAAATAGGCTTATTTGATTTTAATTAACTGGCCTGCTTTTTTTTTTTTTTTTTTACTTTGAAGTTTTTGTTGTAAGCCTGTCCATAACAGTGTTGTCTTGGCAGTCTCCCCAGCACAGCATCCAGAGATGACTACTGTGTGGAGGCCCAGAGAAGCTGACTTCCATTGCAGGGTGGACTGTGGTGATGGACTCCCCTTGCCCCTGTCTGCACTACAATCTGAGAAATCCTCATTAGGCCTAAGCCTTGACAAACTCCATTTATATTAAGCTCCTTTTGACTGTATCAGAAACATAATTTGTTCCCAGGAACTAACAGGTGTCTAACTAGCACAATTTTTTTTTTTTTTTTCTAATGAACAGCCTTGGAAACTTATTTTTCTTTGCTGATTTATTTTTCTTTGCTGACTTTTTCTGACTAAGAACTCAAGTGGAATAATATTCTTGTTGACAAACCTTCAAACAAAGTTACAGAGAAAAGACCTGAATGATGGAACATTACTATGACTAAATCCCACTCTGTTGCAACTGTAAAGTGTCCAAAGGAAGACCTTTTGAGCTCTTGATTCTCAGAATATAAGGGACCAATGAGTGAGTCTCTAACATTGATAATTGTATGGCACTGGAGCCAACCAGGAACTGTTGGTAATAGCCAAGGACTGCTGGCATTAAAATGCTGTGAGAAAGACCAAGATATGGCTGGAGAAGGGGGGCCAGGCGGAAATAGGACAGCACTTTTCAGTGAGAAAGAGCCACAGCACAGTACAGCATAAGCACAAGAATAAGGCCAAGAAGAGAGCGTGGACTATAGAGTAGGATTAAGGCCCTCAAAAACCACCAAAGCCCTCTGACCCATGTCCAGGAAGGCCTGAAAGAAAAGACTGTACATGGTAATTAATTGACATAGAAAGTGGGAAACCTGTGTTTAGGGTGGAGAAACCTGTCGATAAAAAGGTAACCCCCAAGCCTGGAAAGTGCCCTCAGGACCCTGGACATCTCATAGACCAGACCAGCACAGCTGGACTGATGCTGAACTCAGCATTATTGCCGGGATTGGCACTGCAGCCAGGATTGACATTCCATTAACTGGATCAACACTGGAACCAGGACGGGTGTTCTTTTTTTGTCTCTCTTTTCTTCTTTGTCTTTTTCTTTCTCTCTTTCTTTAATTCATCTCTCCCTCTTTTCCTTCTCTTCCCTTTAACCCTACCTCTTTATCCAAAACCCACTGCCTTGTGCTCATGTCAGGGGACTAACACATTGATTTCCAAGCCCAGTGTGTAGTTAGGTAATAAAGTTTTCTGATTGTGGACTCCCTGACTTTTGTTATTCATTTTGGTCACAAATCTTCAGTGCTTCCTTTCCCTTAAGGATGGGTCGTCACACTACAGCAGCTACGAAGATGGCTTTCATCCCCCTTTCCTCTAATACTGTCACAGCCAGGGTAACCATTTTAGATGGATCCAGAAATTCTTGCTGGCAGCTGCAGCTGGTCAGGGACCGTGCAAGATTGTGCTGTTCCAAACCTTCGTCTGTGGCTTCCGTTTTGTGACTTACTGCTGTTGATTTTTTTATTGTTTTTTTTGTTAATTCTGATAGCAGAATTATTGTTTTGCAGAATCCTCTCACATTAAAAAAAAAAAAAAATCTCTGTATTACTACATAGTGCCTGTCAAATGTACCTCTATCATACATAAGGAAACAGCAAAACAAATAAAAATACCCACAAGTGTAAATTCCTGGCAGAGAGAGGAAGTGGAAACACTGCATAAACATATCAATTCTTCTTCCCTTTCAGTGATATGAGAAAGATTTCAAAGCAAAACTGGCGACTCTGTCAGCAAGTGTTTATTCCCATAAATCTGTAATGCTTAGGAAACTTAAAGCTGTTGATTGCACAAGTCACTCCTCCCATAGCTTTAGCAATGTATTACTGCCATGACTTGGTCTCTGCATCCAGCATATTTCCTGTTTCTTTACATATAGTTCATATTCACTCGCACAAATTTAGTACAATTTTTATCTTCCTGCTGCTGTTGTGTGCTTTTCCTGTTTGTTCACTGCAGGGCTGGCACCAGTTGCCTGCATCTGAAGAGCTGCTAATGTTTATAAATGAGACACCACATAGAGTAAGCAAGTCCCAGAAAATACTGATTTATTCTTCTCCTGCTTGTTTCCAGGTTAAATCACTTAGTTCTTCAGCATCCCATCTGTAAAAAAGGCTTATGAACTCACTAAGATAGGGAATATAGTACTGCTGCTTCTGTACGTGTCACATTTTCATGTGTGTTTCCTGCTTTAATGTGTTGACTTGCTGTAGCACCTAAATACTGTGGCTTTACCTGTTTAAAAAAATTATAATTTACAAAACTAAGTAGAAGTTCACTAAGAGAGGAAAGCGATAATGTAGAGTGGCTGAGGTGGAAATAGATACCAACAAGGACACACTGATGCACAACAGCAGCGGGAGCACACTATTTGTCCCGGGTCTCTTACTCAGGTATGCTGCTGCAGTCAGCAATACACCCCTCAGACATGCCTCACTGCTGCTGCCCTGGATGACACAGCCTAAATGTTCAGGTGACAACCCCAGTCTGCTCCTCTGCCTCTTGTCTATATCTGTAGCTGGCATTCTGTGTTCTTTTCCATTCCAGATGAAAGCAACACTAATGAGTGAAGGAAAGGGATTGCACAGGCACGTCAGCTCTTCCCTGGAAGCAGGAAGAGATTGCCTAGATGATGCTGATTATCCTACCCCTCAATTACCCTCTCTTTCCATTTACACATCCTTTCCTAGCATTGTGTGGCTGGCTGCAGTTGCAGGGTTGGCAAGTGGGGGAAAAAGAAAACCAAACAGGCAGAAATAGAGAAAGCAATGAGCAGGCAAGCATTTGGTCAGCCACAGCATGGCATTCTGATGGCTGAGAAAGTCTGCCAGGATGATAGGGTGCAAAGACACCTGAAATACAGAGCAGAATGGATCCTTTTGCTTACCTGCTTGCATTTGAATCCAAATAACTGAAATGAGTGGAGACAAAGCATGGAGTGAATGTTGGTTCAGCTCTGCATAGATCTGGCATTTTGGAAAAGCTCTATCTCAGGATTAAAAAAAATTATATTCCATTTTATATTTTTTTTGCCAGCCCTTCTTTACAAAGCACTGGTATGTGGAGAGGCAGACAGAAAAGAATCTTATTCTCTTACTTGCTGAGTCACCCCTTACAGTTTTGGCAGACACTGCAGTCAGTCAGTCTACCTTCAGCCCTATTACACAGCTTCTTGAGTGCCCTAAAACGATAAACAGGACATGTTGTTAATAATCACCATTAGCAGTATTTTCCACATAGTCAACTTAGCTTCAGATGTCACTGGATGTTAAGGGAAGAGCCCAGCTGGACCCTTTGAAACATGCAAAATGGCAAAATTACTTAGTGAAATTCTGGGGTCATTGTTCAAGTAGGTCAGAACAAATGATCTTATAAGGCCTGTCCTGACCTTAAAAAACTACTATGAAAAATTCCTCATGAGGTAGGAATGAATCAACTGAGGCTTTAAATGATCATATAAATTCTTTAAAGCAATTTTAATTTAAAATTTATCTTTTTTAAACCAAGAAAAACACACATCCTCAATTCTGAAGCTGATTTGCTCAGTGAAAGAGCATTATAACTACAGTCGCCTATCCTGGAAAAGTCAGCAGTCCTAAAAATGAAGGTTTGCAAAGACCCAGCTGCTCACTCCATTTTAATTATAGTTTTCTGTCATTAAAATCCTATTCTCAGGAAGCTGGTAACCAGAGCACTGTCAGGTAGATTGCATAGCATTCTACTATGTTACTACAATCCTACTGACTGCTAAGTTTTCACATTTCTTCTATCCATAGAATCAGAGAATCATACAATATCTCAAGTTGGAAGGAATTCATATGAATCAATGAATCCCAACCCCCACTCCTTGCAGGACTACCTGAAAATGGACCATATGACTAAGAGTGTTCTCCAGACAGTCCTTGAATTCTGACAGTCTTGGTGCTGTGACCTCTTCCCTGGGGAGCACGATTCAATCACTGACCACCATCTCCATGAAGAACCTTTTCCCAGTGTCCAGTCTGAACTTTTCCTGATGTGGCTTCATTCCATTTCCCCATATCCTATCACTGGCACCAGAGAGAGGAGATTACCACATCTCACTGCACTGCCCACCTTGAGGAAGTTGTAGGTTGCCCTGAGGTCACCTCAATCTTTTCTTCTCCAAGCTGAGGAAACCAAACGGCCTCAGTCTTGCCACTGAGAATTTTCATTGTGACCACCTTGGTCACACTCTTCTGGACACTCTAATAGTTCAATGTTCTCTTACTGTGGCACCCAGAGCTGCCTCCAGAACTCCAGGTGAGGCTGCCCCAGCTCAGAGCAGGACAATCCCCACCATTGCCTGGCCGGCCATGCTGTGCCTGATGT